TTAATTTTCAACACCAGGGTATGTGATATTTGGAGTTCAGGATTTGTCGTGTGTACTGTAACCATTTGCTTAGCTGGTGTTTCTTGTCACCTGAGATGGACCTACTGTATGACCACCTTCATTTCTGTGCCCCACACTCCTCATGTGCCGCCGCTTCTCGGCCTAGAATGCATGGAGAAGGTTGGCCAACTCAGAAACCGGAATAGTAGATTTCTAATTCCGTCTACGGGTATTTTCTCGTCTACGATCACCAATCGGTAAAACAGGCAAGTTGTTTTGTTGTCGGGGTTTTTTTTAATTCATGTTTTATGGTTTCCCCAAATCTTAGATTTTGTTTCCCGATGCGATAGTGAATCGGTACGTTTTACTTTGGGATTGATCAGGAGCAGTCTCGTTTTCTCTGTGTCAGCGGCCACATCTGAGCAGTGTACTACATTGTTTTCATTGTGGCTTCAGAGGAAGGTTGAAGTTACGTCCTCTACAGACATGGATCAACTCACTAAGATCCCACACCCTAGAGTTCAAGAGTCAGTTACCTCCCAACTTATTACAGGATCTGCAGTGGTGGACTCACAAAGAACATGTGATGAGCAGCATTCCTCTGACTTCTCCACGTCCGAACACCATCTATTCACACACGCGTCAGATTCGGGATGGGGAGCCCATATGGACGATCTCAGGGTACAGGGATCATGGAACACCAGAGAGGGGATCCTTCATATCAACTGCAAGGAAATAAAGGTAATCTATTACGCCATCCAGGCTTGGAAGATCGTCCATCCTCATAGTATAGGCAACACAACAGTAGTGGCATACATCCAGAAACAAGGAGGAACCACATCCAGTTCTCTGATGATGGAGACCAAACAATTGTTTGCCTTGGGAGACTCTATCAGTTGCCAGATGGAAGCGAGACATATTCCCGGGAAGCTGAACATCCTTGCCGACAGCCACTCACGTCGGGGGAGAATACTGGCAAAAGAATGGACCTTACATCCCCAGATCTTTGCTTGGATAACCACGTTATGGGACACACCGCACCTAGACCTCTTTGCCACCTGCCAGAACCATCAACATGGTTTATGTCAGTCCAGTTCCCCACCCAAGGGCTCACCAGATGGATGCGCTATCGATGGATTGGAACAGGTCTATTTGCATACGCATTCCCACCATGGTCTCTCCAAGACAAGGTCATCCACACTATACCATTCCTACCTTGGGACCAACAGTGGATCACCAAGACAGACTTTTATGTCCCATCAGAGCTCTCAAGTTCTATCTCTCGGCTACAGACCTACATAGACGCCATTTATGGATACTTTTTAAACCCTGCAAACCTCATTCCAAGGACATCACCAAGGCTACGATAGCGGGCTGGCTTAAGGCTACCATTGCAGTGAGTTATACGCAGGCACAGAATTCCACTCCACATCTTGGATCCTGCTTGGCTCATGAGATGAGAGCCCTAGCCACAAGTCTCACTTCATTGACATCCATCTCAGTAGAACAAGTAGTCTCTAGCTGACAGTGTGCCTCACAAAACACCTTCACCAAGTTTTACGTGCAACAGGACCTAGAGGGCATATATTCCCTTGGGCTTGTTGTCGCGGCATAAACTATCATCCACCAATAGTTTCCCCCGTCTTTCAAAAAAAGGATGGGGGTGAGGATCCGACACCAGCAGTATCAGAGGGTGAATACACCCTTGATTATCCTGTCTATTAGGTGTAGGGTGGATTAGGAGCACCTTGAATATTAACTGACGCCAGTGACCAGAAGTGATGTCAGAACCGGAAGAGTGAGTGAGTGAGTGAGTTTGGTTTAACGCCGCTTTTAACAGTATTCCAGTTATATCGTGGCGTGTCAGCTTAATGTGGGAGGAAAGCCCGAAGAGATGGAGGTCTCAGACGTTTACCACTTCGGTGAAACCCATGAGCACGGGTATGGTGCTGACAAACCTAGAAACATAATCGGGCCAAACCGGGATTCGAACCCACAATCATAGGTTTCTGGCATGCCCAAGGGACGCAACTCTGCACAGCAAATCGCGGCACCTTAGACGACTGGGCCACCCGTGCCCCCAGAACAGGAAGAATTAGAACGGGAAGTGACATCATCACCGGAAATGAGATCATAACCAGAAGTGACGTCAGCACCGGAAATAGCAGTACAAGGTCCATCTAATCAGGAGGAGCGGTCGGGTAGCCTAGTGGTTAAAGCGTTCGCTCGTCACGCCGAAGACCCGGGTTCGATTCCCGACAAGGGTACAATGTGTGAAGCTCATTTCTGGTGTCCCCCACCGTGATATTGCTGGAATATTGCTAAAAGCGGCGTAAAACCATACTCTCTCACTCACTCTAATCAGGAAATTATGTCTTTTGGTGGAGACAGACCCAGAGACGTCATTATCCAATAAAATGGAAGTGACAAACTGGAAGTGATGTCAGAACCGGAAGTGATGTCAGCACCAGTAATAGTGTCACAAATCTAAATTTAACAAAAAATGACGTCATTGAGTAGAAATAGTAATAATGATGTCATTAATGGTCTAACAAGATCAGCAAATATAACGGTAATTCTAGTGAAGGTATTGACTGATTCTTGATGCATTCTGATTTTCAAATCCGCAGGAGGAATTTTAGAGGAAATTATCTCGAGTCGGGATTAGAATCAGTGAATAATGGTTTCCAGAAGAGGATTACTGTCAATTACACAGGGAGTTACTAGAAGCATATCCCACAGGTCCCTCTGGTATATTCTGGCAAAGATGTAACAGAGGTAGAGGATTCGCAAGAATTATCAAACAATAGTTAGCATTTTTAATAATTCTAAGAATACTACCTCTATTGCATCAGAAGTACTCCTACCCACCTCCCCAATCCATCTACTTCTAGAAGAAGTGAGATTCCCGCCATTATGCACGTCATAGCTTGGGTTGCTATTGTGCTATATATGGGGAACAACTAGTTGTGTGTAATTGACAGTGAAGAGGACGTCTGTTGAAAATCTGAAAATTTTAGTTAGCGTGACTGAAGCCAAAATACAGGATTTATTGCAAAGATGTAATAGAGGTAGTATTCTTAGAATTATTAACAATGATAACTATTGTGAGATATATATATATAAATATCAATATAAAATTCTTGCGAATCCTCTAACTCTATTACATCTTTGCCATAAATCCTGTATTTTGGCTAACTAAAACTTTCTATTTAATGTGTTGTTTGCAGCTCTCATCATCCCTATAACTGCAATTTTCCTGCTGATTGAAAATAAAAACGGACCATTTTAACTCCCCTGAATTGACCTGAATAATGTGTTGTCGGTTGTTTTACTGCATGTTTTTCATATTTCATTTAATTTATTTATTTGAAATTTTGCAAGTATGATCATTGAACAATGCTATCTAAACATTGCTCACAGCATTCCAGTTTTTCCTTTAAATATGTCTGCCATACTGAAAATATCACATTTGACATATAGTACACAACCATTTCTGCATAGATCATTATGAAAGTTGATATATATGCAGTAAGTATGCACAGTTGTGGAATAACACATTATTCATTTTTAGTTTGATATTTTGTTCATCTTTGATCTTTGACCTTAATGTCCTTTTCTAACTGTCATGTTGAAAGTGAACGTTTGACCTTCAACTTTGACAATAATGGGTATGATTCAATGTATATGTCAGAGTGCCTGTTTTAGAAACTTTGGATACATTTTACATTTACTTTGTTACCCTCGCTATATCATGACAGTCATCTCTCTATTTTCTGCTAACTATCATCACCATATGGGATAAACAGCAGACTATGAAGTACTTATGATGTTTGTGTTAGATTTGCTTGACAGTCTGATACATTTTTTATATCTACAGAAAAATGAACAAATTATTTTCATTAAGGGTTTAAGCAGAGATGATATGAATTAAGCTAGCTCTTAATTCATGTCCAATATTTGCCATCAGAGATTGCCAAGCATAGAAAAATGCATAGTTTCCACTCAAATTAAGTTACCCTCAAATGTAGGTGAAAAAAATTGCAAAGCGATTACTTTAAAACAGTACATTTTTATAAAGTATCATGTGATGACACATTTTGGTTGTCATGTAAACAATTTCACTTCAGCATTTGAAAGCATAATGTACACTGCCACTCATGGATGTTCGTTATTGAGAGAATTCTCATGTGTTAATATGTAGAGAAAGAGAGACGGAAAGATGGAAAACAGTGGGAAGGAGATACAAAATAGGAAGTAATGAAAATCAAACTAGACTACTGCCACCTTGGCTATCAGATTTCAGGAGGTTGCTGCCAGTGGCAACTGGGTCTACTGCCAGCCATGACTGCAGTGAAGGGAGAGAGCATGTGGCAACCACTTGCTCCCATGGTCTGACAGTCATACTGCTCCCCAGCTTCTAGCTTGTGCTGCCTGCCTGCTGCCTGCCTGCCTGCTGCCTGCCACAAGCAGTACTGAGCTTGGGGACAGTCAGTGAGAGAAAGAGAGATTGAGTGGGCTGAGGTGGAGTGTGGCACCAGGCGAGGAGTCAGCAACACATACTGCGACAGAATACCTCAACTAAGTTCATAAGCATTTCCCATTTGTAAACGTGTACACTGTCAGTGACCACCAGTTTATGCAATCAGGTGTGGCTGGAGAGGAACACACCTTTTGAAGTGCACTTTCAACTATCTGCAAGATTCCTTGTTGGATACTACTATCAGTGATCTACACACTGGTGTTGTTTGTGTTGTTATATGACAGTGGGTTATGCCTGTCACAGGATCCACTTCTTCTGGTCAGATGGGAGATTGTGTGCACACCACTGCCACAAAACCTCGAAGCAAAAGTAGCAGTGGTAAAACAGGAAGACAAAACAGCAAGAAAGAGTCCAAGTCTAAACGTGGGGGCAGTATGAAGAAGAGGGACCCCTCAGATATGCCAGCAGAGGTAGGCATGATTAAACAATTTTTCACACACTATTTATTTTCTTTCAGAAACTTAGCAAACCACATGTATGCCAAAGTGTATGAAACTCAAGAGGACTTGTGCCATAAACGTAATGAAATCCGGGTAGCGAACATGCAGCTTGCTGGAGTTCGAGCACAGGTAAGGTAGTTATAATATCTTCTCAAGTTTCCACAACAACCAAATGCAGGGTTTACACTATGGTTCAAACTGGATTACTGCTGCATACTGACAATAGTTCAAAACCAGTTTCCACAGTCCATGTCCTGCACAGATATCTTCCAGGTGAGCATTTATGGTGAACTGGCGACCATGTGCACAGGCAGATCCAGATAGGGGTGCACACCCTACCTACCTCTTTTTCCAAGACACCTCAAGTATCATGTATTTTCTGGGTTACTTGATAATTTGGGTAGAGTGTGCACATACCCTTTTTTCAAAATCCTGGGTCTGCCACTGAACTTACCCATCTCAAACACCTGTTAATAGATGCTGGAGATGTCATATCTATATCACATGACAAAGAAATACCATATGTTCTCTGTTTGCAATAAAAGTAAAGGATTAAGGTGGTCAGTGAAAAGTGTTCCTGACTAGACTGTGTTTATTCCAGTTTTCATATACACTTACAGAGGCTTCCTTCCCACCTGGCCATGCATGTTTACACAGTTTTATCACTAGTTACTCATGTGTCATACTTGGTATGACACAGTGAAGCCAGCAAAAACTCAACCGAAGAGCTAAAGATAGTTAGCATGGCAATGTTCTCTCTCTATGAAAATAGACACTACCTCATTAGTAGAGGAACTTCCATCATACAAGATACATTCCCACAGTTATCAACAAGTCTACATCCCACACATCTTATCAATGTAGGATACATTCAGATATCACATAGCAGTATCCTGCATAAAGAATTATAACACACTACAGCAAGAGAGATATAGAAATAACTGCAGTTATTCGTGAGTCAGTGTACCAATTTTGACCAGGGCAAGATAATTTCAAAGTAAAATGTTGCCGTCTGTTTCCGTGTATCTGGTGATACAAGACAGCAGCAGCAGCAGCAGCAGCAGCAGCTGATGTGTGTACTGCAGCCCCCCTCTCTCTGTGTGGGACTAACACAACACACTGGTGGTTGCAGTGTATATTTAGACTGTCTGGCAGTGCCTTCAGGTGTATGCAAGCATTGCTTCAACTTTCATATCATCCATATGAAACACTGACATAATTAAATAATGCCTGGACATGTATCTTAGTGTAATTCACTCCGATTGTTAAGTTGAAACAAGCTGAGGTTAAGCATACATCTGTACAATCATCTTTATATAAGGTAAAGTGCAAAACTAATTATTTGTTTGGTAGGCACTTACTTGATGGATGTGTCCTTATTCCTGCTCCATATGCCCCCATCTCAGCCATGTTACTTTATTCCCGCTCCATGCTCCCCAATCTCAGTCATGTGTCCTTATTCCTGTTCCACGCTCCCCCATCTCAGTCATGTGTTTTTATTCCTGCTCCATGTTCCCCAATCTCAGTCATGTGTCCTTATTCCTGTTCCATGCTCCCCCATCTCAGTCATTTGTCCTTGTTCCTGCTCCATGCTCCCCATCTCAGCCATGTGTCCTTATTCCTGCTCCATACTCCCCCATCTCAGTCATGTGTCTTTACTCCTGCTCAATGTTCCCCATCTCAGTCATGTGTCCTTATTCCTGCTCCATACTCCCCCATCTCAGCCATGTGTCCTTATTCCTGCTCCATGCTCCCCAATCTCAGCCATGTGTCCTTATTCCTGCTCCATGCTCCCCATCTCAACCATGTGTCCTTATTCCTGCTTCATGCTCCCCATCTCAGTCATGTGTCCTTATTCATGCTCCATGCTCCCCCGTCTCAGTCATGTGTCCTTATTCCTGCTCATGTGTCCTTATTCGTGTTCCATGCTCCCCAATCTCAGTCAAGTGTCCTTATTCCTGTTCCATGCTCCCCCATCTCAGCCATGTGTCCTTATTCCTGATCCATAATCCCCCATCTCAGCCATGTTACTTTATTCCTGCTCCATACTCCCCATCTCAGCCATGTGTCCTTATTCCTGATCCATACTCCCCCATCTCAGTCATGTGTCTTTATTCCTGCTCCATGTTCCCCTACCTCAGCCATGTTACTTTATTCCTGCTCCACACTCCCCCATCTCAGTCATGTGTCCTTATTCCTGCTCCATGCTCCCCCGTCTCAGCCATGTGTCCTTATTCCTGATCCATACTCCCCCATCTCCACCATGTGTCCTTATTCCTGCTCCATACCCCCCATCTCCGCCATGTGTCCGTATTCCTGCTCATGTGTCCTTATTCCTGCTCCATACCTCCCATCTCAGCCATGTGTCCTTATTCCTGCTCATGTGTCCTTATTCATGTTCCATGTTCCCCATCTCACTCATGTGTCCTTATTCCGGCTCCATACTCCCCCATCTCAGTCATGTGTCCTTATTCCTGCTCAATACCCCCCATCTCAGCCATGTGTCCTTATTCCTGCTCCATACCCCCCATCTCCGCCATGTGTCCTTATTCCTGCTCCATGCTCCCGGAGCTCAGCCATGTGTCCTTATTCCTGATCCATGTTCCCCGTCTCAGTCATGTGTCTTTATTCCTGCTCCATGTTCCTCCATCTCAGCCATGTTACTTTATTCCTGCTCAACACTCCCCCATCTCAGTCATGTGTCCTTATTCCTGTTCAATACCCCCAATCTCAGCCATGTGTCCTTATTCCTGATCCATACTCCCCCATCTCAGCCATGTGTCCTTATTCCTGCTCCATACCATCTCAGTCATTTGTCCTTATTCCTGTTCCATGCTGCCCAATGTCAGTCATGTGTCCTTATTCCTGCTCCATGCTCCCCCATCTCAGTCATGTTACTTTAGTCCTGCTCCATGCTCCCCATCTCAGTCATGTGTCCTTATTCCTGTTCCATGCTCCCCAATGTCAGTCATGTGTCCTTATTCCTGCTCCATGCTCCCCCATCTCAGTCATGTTACTTTAGTCCTGCTCCATGCTCCCCATCTCAGTCATGTGTCCTTATTCATGCTCCATACTCCCCCATCTCAGCCATGTGTCCTTATTCATGCTCCATGCTCCCCCATCTCAGCCATGTGTCCTTATTCCTGCTTCATGCTCCCCATCTCAGCCATGTGTCCTTATTCCTGCTCCATGCTCCCCATCTCATTCATGTGTCCTTATTCATGCTCCATGCTCCCCCGTCTCAGTCATGTGTCCTTATTCCTGCTCATGTGTCCTTATTCGTGTTCCTTGCTCCCCCATCTCAGTCAAGTGTCCTTATTCCTGTTCCATGCTCCCCCATCTCCGTCATGTGTCCTTATTCCTGTTCCATGCTCCCCCATCTCAGCCATGTGTCCTTATTCCTGCTCCATGCTCCCCCATCTCAGCCATGTGTCCTTATTCCTGATCCATACTCCCCCATCTCAGCCATGTTACTTTATTCCTGCTCCATACTCCCCATCTCAGCCATGTGTCCTTATTCCTGATCCATACTCCCCCATCTCAGTCATGTGTCCCCATTCCTGTTCCATACTCCCCCATCTCAGTCATGTGTCCTTATTCCTGATCCATACTCCCCCATCTCAGCCATGTTACTTTATTCCTGCTCCATACTCCCCATCTCAGCCATGTGTCCTTATTCCTGATCCATACTCCCCCCATTTCAGCCAAGTTACTTTATTCCTGATCCATACTCCCCCATCTCAGTCATGTGTCCTTATTCCTGATCCATACTCCCCCAGCTCAGCCATGTATCCTTATTCCTGATCCATACTCCCCCCATTTCAGCCAAGTTACTTTATTCCTGCTCCATACTCCCCCATCTCAGTCATGTGTCCTTATCCCTGATCCATGCTCCCCCATCTCAGTCATGTGTCCTTATATCTGATCCATGCTCCCCCATATCAGTCATGTGTCCTTATTCCTGCTCCATGCTCCCCCATCTCAGTCATGTGTCCTTATTCCTGCTCCATACTCCCCCATCTCAGTCATGTGTCCTTATTCCTGATCCATGCTCCCCAGTCTCAGTCATGTGTCCTTATATCTGATCCATGCTCCCCCATCTCAGTCATGTGTCCTTATTCCTGATCCATACTCCCTCATCTCAGACAAGTTACTTTATTCCTGCTCCATACTCCCCCTCTCAGTCATGTGTCCTTATTCCTGATCCATACTCCCCCATCTCAGCCATGTGTCCTTATTCCTGCTCCATACTCCCCCATCTCAGTCATGTGTCCTTATTCCTGCTCCATACTCCCCTATCTCAGCCATGTTACAATCCTGCTCCATACTCCCCCCATCTCAGTCACGTGTCCTTATTCCTGCTCCATGCTCCCCCATCTCAGTCATGTGTCCTTATTCCTGATCCATACTCCCCCATCTCAGCCATGTGTCCTTATTCCTGCTCCATGCTCCCCCATCTCAGTCATGTGTCCTTTTCCTGTTCCATACTCCCCCGTCTCAGCCATGTGTCCTTATTCCTGATCCATACTCCCCCATCTCAGTCATGTGTCCTTATTCCTGCTCCATACTCCCCTATCTCAGCCATGTTACTTTATTCCTGTTCCATGTTCCCCATCTCAGTCATGAGTCCCTCATCTCTCCCCCATTTCAGCCATGTGTCTTTATTCCTGCTCCATGCTCCCCATCTCTGCCATGTGTCCTTATACCTGCTCCATACTCCCTATCTCAGCCATGTTACTTTATTCCTGTTCCATGTTCCCCATCTCAGTCATGAGTCCCTCATCTCTCCCCCATTTCAGCCATGTGTCTTTATTCCTGCTCCATGCTCCCCATCTCTGCCATGTGTCCTTATACCTGCTCCATACTCCCTCATCTCAGTCATGTGTCCTTATACCTGATCCATGTTCCCCATCTCAGTCATGTGTCCTTATTCCTGCTGCCTTATACCATGTCTAAGACCAGCTTGACTTCAGGCTGTCCACCCACATCAAGTTGACATGCCATGAGATACTGTTCAAAGTGGCATAAAAACACATCTCTCGTTTATTTCTAATATTTCTATTTTCAAACTGAACATCCATCTTTTATCTCCATCATAACCATTTCTGTCCACCTCTTCATTTGTTACC